CAAAACAACAGTTTCAAGACACTGACATCAGGAAATAAAGGGCAGTGATCCCTGAGAGACGGGAACCAAATGAGATGAGCTCCAAGACTGCCGCAGATTACTGCCTGGCAAGAGCTCCCAGCTGTGGTGTGGGGATGGGGGAACCCAGGTGCAGCCTGGCAGTCGCCTCGAGTTGAAGAAAGGCCAACCAGGTGAAGGTGGCTAGAGTATGCAGGGCACAGTACGAGAGAGGAGAGAGCCGCAGAGAGAGAGAGCTCTGTAGATCTGCACAGGGTCCACTTTGAGTCCTGGGCTGAGTGTTGTTCAGGGCTCGCACGTGTGGAAACTATCCAAGGCTGGGGAAAGAATCACTCCAAAGGGTAGACAGAATGATCCTCTGAGCTCAAACAGGGTCTGACATAGTTCCTATTTCCACCGGCCAGGTTGCCTCATAATTCGTGGGGTATCAGAGTACTCAGGATGGTTTTGGCTCAGTTCAGTGGTGGGTAAATCACCTCTAGACTGGAGTAAGCAAATATTTTCTGTAAAGGGTCAGATGGTAAATATTTTAAGCTTTGTGGTTCACAGGGTCCTTTGAGCAATGACCCAGCTCTGCACTGTGGCAGGAAAGCATCCCTAGATAATAGGTAAGTGAATGAGCATGGCTGTGTCCCTATAACACTTTCTGATGAACGCTGAACTTTGAACTTCATATAATTTTTACAAGCACAAAATATTCTTATTTTGATTATTTTTCAACCATTTAAAAATAGAAAAGCCATTTTTAACTTGCAGACCACACAAATACAGGGGGTGGGCCAAATTTGGCCCACAGGTCATGGTTTGCTGACCCCTGCTCTAAAATAAACACCTCGGTGGGCCTGACAAAGGAAGACCCAACAACTTAACTGCATCCCATAGCAACTCTCATGAATATTCCTAGAAATATGAAAATACTCAGTATCAAACAAAGAAAAATTTGTAATAACTGGCATCCAAATGAATGTCTCCCCCCACTAAGATCAGAAACAAGGTAAGGATGTCTGCTTTCACCATTTATATTCAACATTGTATTGGAAGTTGTAGCAAGTATAATATGGCAAGAAAATAAAATAAAAAGCATCCAGACTGAAATGAATAAGTCTTTTCTCACAGATGACATGATCATTTGTGTAGAAAATCCTACAGGCTCAACAAACAAACTATTAGACAAATTTATGAGTTTAGCAAGGCTGTATGATAAAAGATCCATATACAAAAATCAAATGTATTGTTATGTATGAAGAACAATCAGAAATTGAAAATTTTAAATGCCATTTATAACCGAATAAAATATGAAGTATTTAGGGATAAATCTGATGAAAGATGTACAAGATATGTAGCGAAAACTAAAAAGCACTGCTACAAAAATTTTCAAAACTAAATAAATGGAGGGATGTACCATATTCATGAATTGGGAGACTCAATATTATTAAGAAGTCAATTTTCCCCAAATTATTCTAAAGACTTAATGTAATCTCAATCAAAATTCCTGGAGACTTTTTTGGTAGAAATTGAAAACAGATTCTAAAACTTATATGGAAATGCAAAAGACCTAGAATATCCAATAAAAGTGTGAAAAAGAACAAAGTTGGGCCAGGCATAGTGGCTCACGCCTGTAATCCCAGCACTTTGGGAGGCTAAGACAGGAGGATCACTGGAGGTCAGAAGTTCAAGACCAACCTGGGCAACACAGTGGGACCCCGTCTCTACAAAAAAATTTAAAAATTAGCCAGGTATGGTGGTGAGCGTAGTCCCAGCTACTCGGGGGGATCACTTAGGCCCAGGAATTTGGGGTTGCAGTGAGCTATGATTCTGCCTCTGAACTCCAGCCTGGGCAATAGAGTGAGGAGACCCTGTCTCAAAAATAAAAACGAAGACCTGTCGTAAAAATATAATAATCAATATAGTGTGGCACTGGTATAAAGATAAATGAATAGACCAATGGAAAAAAACATAGTCTAGAAAAATGCCATGCATATATGGTCAATTGATTTTTCATGAACCTAGAGAAATTCAGTAAAAAGTAGTCTTTAAAAAAATAGTGCCAGACCAAATAGATATCCATATGCAAAACTGTCAAATTTTCATCCATACTTCACTGTATGTAAAAAACTCAAAGATCACAGACCTAATGTCAAACCTGAAACTATAAAATTTCTAGGAAAAAAAAACAAAGCACCAAATCTTATGGCTTTAGGGTATTCAATGATTTCTTAGATACAACCAAACCACAAACCATACAAGAAAAAAATTAATTGAACTTTAAAATGAAGAACTTCTGCTTTTTGAAAGCTATTGTTAAGAGCATGAAAAAGATAAACCACAGACTGGGAGAAAATATTTGTAAAACGTATGTCTCATAAATGACATATAAAAAAGTTCTTACAGCTTAATAAAAAATAAACAACCAAATTAAAAATGAGTAAACAATTTGAACAGACATTTCACCAAAGAAGATATACAAATGGCAAATGACTATAATGCAAAGATTCATTAGGGAAATACACACTATTAAAACCACAATGAAATATACCTACACATCTATTAAAATGACTAAAATGAAAAAAACTGACCATACCAAGTTTTGGTGAGGATGTGAAACAGCTAGAATACTTACATGCTTCTGGTGGAGATATAAAATGGTACAAGCACTTATGAAACTAGCTTGGCAGTTTCATTAAAAGTTAAACATATACTTCAAACAACTGAGTAGCAAAATAATAATAATAACCTGATTAAAAACTGGTCAATGAACCTGAACAGACATTTCTCAAAGATATACAAATGGCTGAAAACTATACAAAAAAATGCTTGACATCACTAATCATCAGGCAAATGCAAATTTAAACCACAATGAAATATCACCTCATACCTGTTAGAATGGCTAATATCAACAGACAAAAAAAATGTAACAAGTGTTGGCAAAAATGGAAAAAAGAAACCCTTGTACATTGTTGGTGGGAATGTAAATTGGTATAGACATTATGAAAAATAGGGAGGTTCCTCAAACACTTAAAAATTATCATATGATCCTATAATCCCACTATTGGGTATCTACCCAAAGGAAATGAAATCAGTATCTTGAAGTGCTATCTGCACTCCTATGTTTATTGTAGCACTTTTCACAATCGCCAAGACATGAAATCAACCTAAGTTTCCATCAATGGATGAATGGATTAAAAAATGTGGTAGATATATGTAATGGAATACTATTTAGTCTTTAAAAAGAAGAAAATCCTGTCATTTGCAACAACATGGATGAACCACGTTAAGTGAAAATAAGCCAGGCACAGGAAGACAAATACCACATGATCAAACTTATATGTGGAACCTAAAAAAGTCAAACTCATAGAAGCAGAGAGTAAAATATGGAGGCTAAATTGTAGGGGTGGGGTAGGGATTGAGGAGATGTTGGTCAAAGGATACAAAATTTCAGTTTTACAGGAAGAGTAAATTCAAGAGATCTATCGTATAACATGATGACTAACATAGTTGAAAACTGCAAAGAGTTGATTTTAAGTATTCTTATTGCAAATAAATATGCACATGAGGTAATGGTATGCTAATTATTAGTTTGATTTACCCATTCCATGATATATACATATTTCAAAACACCATGTTGCATACCATAAATACATATAATTTTTGTTTGCCAATTAAAATTTTTAAAGTTAAACATACACCCACTTTATGGACTCAGTCATTCCACTTGTAGTATTTACCTAAGAAAAAATGAAAATTTATGTTCATACAAAGACTTATACATGAATGCCAATAGCAGCTTTTTTCAGCCCCAAACGAAAAACAACCCAAATATTCATCAATAGGTGAATGGATACACAGATTGTGGTAAATTTATACAATGGAATACTATTCTACAAGAGAGTGAAATACTGATACACACAAGATAGATGAATCTTAAAATAATTACGCTTAGAGAAAGAAGCCAGACACCCCCTTCTTGCCAAAAAAAGAATACATACTGTATGGTTCTATTTATGTAAAATTATAGAAAATGTAAACTGATTTATAATGACAGAAAACAGACCAACAGTTGCCTAGGGATGAAGGGAAGAACAATAGGAAGAATTACAAAGAGGCATGAAGAAAACTTTTGGGAGTAATGATTATTATGTTCATTATTTTGATTGCAGTGATGGTTTCACAGGTGTGTGTGTGTGTATATATATATATGTCAAAGCTTATCGAATTATATACTTCAAATGTGTGCTATTTATGATAATGTAACTATGTCTCAATAAAAAGCAGAATTAGAAAGAATAACATCTGTACATACTGACATGAAAAAATATCTGACACATTAAGTAAAAAAAGATATGGAATAACATATATGGAGAGATATAGCTATAGCTATATATCTCATGACCCTGTTTATATAAAATAAGTGTGTTTAGACTGAATATATGTATGTACATGTATATAAAAAGGTGTACGGAAATACATATTAATCCATTTACAGTTTGAGACTGGAGAAGCAATATGCAGGGCTTTCACTTTAAATATTCCTATATTGTTTGAACTTTATAAAATAATCATGTATTACGTCTGAAATTTAAAAAATAGAAGTAAAAAAAAAATAATTAGCAGGTTTAAAAGCCACTGGCTAAGATGAGCTTGAGGTCTGTAAAAGCCAAGCTGATACATTTTACAGGAAAAAAATGGAATCTTATGTTTGGAGAATAATTCCCAGTTACGGATCAAAGCAAAGGGCACATGCGTCCAATTCACCTGGACTTGGATTCAGATCTGCTGTGTTTGTTCTTGTCCAGTGGAAAATCACTACTGGGATGGGTAACAGCAACTGTCTATTACTCAGGTTTCCTGAGGCACAAAAATGCCAAGAGTTTTAAAAGACCAACAGTTTGGACTCCAATTTTCAATGGGGATGAAGAACGTACAAGGCTACAGTAAAAATCTGGCAAGGCTTCAGAGCCCACACTCCTCGGTGTATTTGGTACCTTGGATAATTTTCTGCTGCTGTTGCCGGATTTCATCAAAACCCAAGCCTCTGGTTTCCTCTGGCTCCTCAAAGAGCCAAGGGTTGGGCGCTCCTCGCTTAGCTTCTTCACTCATCAGGCTGGACCTAGGAACAATAGGAAATGCATTAAATATTTCAAAATATATAGCTCGGCTGCAAATTACTCCCACAGGTGCAGAGGTGGCCAGCCTTGCATGCTTTGAAAATTCAATTCAACCACGATTTATTGCATCCTTAGTTCATGCCAGGAACTGTATTCAATGCTGGAAGAGATATGAGGATGAATAAGACACAAGCCTGGTCCTTAGAGGATTCCCGCCTGTTAAAGAGATGATGGGAGAACACAACACTCATACTAATCCTCCAAGATACATTTGAGTCGATAATCCTAGAAACACAAGACCAAATGGAAGTGGCCTTTTTATTAGGACAAAGTTTGTCTCACAGGCTATGTGACACCAAATGTACAAATATTATTTCTCAAGCAGATACACTGTTGTGACTACAGATTACAGCATTAAAAAATAACTATATAATTTTGCATTAAAGGGTACTTGGTGGCTCACAGACAGAAATACATGCAAGGTTTCAAAGCCAATTTTAAGAATATAATGTAGAATTCATAATATAATAAACACATTCTGAATTATCAATCTTAATCGTTATTCCCACTAATAACCCATGTGACCCTTTTGCACCAGACCATTTCGTCTTGCTGTATGAGGGACAGGAAACACACAATTTCCACCTCAGTCCCCACATTTATAGGATTTTCCTCATCTGGAGAACCTCCTCTCCTATCCCCACCTGTCCACATTCTGTCCAAGCTGCAAAGATCACCTTGTCCAGGACACTATTTCTGACCACTTCACTTCAAGATGAACAATCACTTTAGAGCTCTCACTGGATTCATAAAAAATAATGATGGAATAAAGGCTTGGAGGGATGTCAGCAAATGGCTGACTAGAGTCCCTGGCACTAGTCCCCCTGTCACCCCAATAAAGGACCGAGGCAACTAATAAACTGGACTGTTGTCAAAGAGCATCGAACGCAGCACGTGTGGTGATGGGAGGACAGTAGGTCGGTATGGAAGCACCCAGCCTTTATAGCCCCATCTCCCCTGCCCACACCCGACTGACCCAGGGGCAGGAAGGACTTGCCCTTGTGGGGAAAGGTAAGCTGTAGAACCCTGCCAGCCCTCGTTGCCACTACAAACACCTGCAGTCCTTAACACTGGAGAATCCCACAGTCCTTGCAAGCCCTAAGCCCACTTTGGAGAGCTGCCAAGAATTCACACAGCTGCATTGCTCCACCCCTCCACGCCCCGCCACTGTGAGCCAAGACTCTGCAGCATGGCACCACCTTGAGACCAGAGCCACCCCTGGGGTGCACTCTGCTCTCAGGGCAGCACCCAGTGCACCTCTCCAGGATCATCTTCATTCTACCAAGCCCACACAGGTGGTTGAACACCACAACCCTAGCTGTAAAGAACCTGGGTTCGGGATCAGTGGGACTCTAGTCTTGCACAACAGAGAAACAAACCCGCACCTCTAGATGGAGGAACGGTCTGAAAGTTCCACCCAGGGTGAGCCCACCCTTGAGCAGACAAAACCACTGCATGCCCTCCCCTGAGCAGGAGAGGTCGCCAACCCACCAAGCAACTGACGTGTGGCTGTATGCCCATGCCCAGGGCCTGAGAATCATGCCTGTGGGCCGCCCCCTCCTTCAGACATGCCTCTGGCCTGTCCAATGGCCTTACACCTGCAGTCAGGGCCTAAGAAACAGCCCCATGGGCCACCCCTGGCAGATACACACCCAGACCAGCCAAGCAGATGTGTAGCCACCACCCAGGCCCTAAAAACAGCCCTGTGGGCCGCCCCTGGCAGACACACCTCCAGCCTGGCCAAGCAGCTGTGCACCCCCATTCCACACGTGAGAAATAGCCCTGTGGGACACCCCTGGCAGACATGCCCCCAAGCCAGCCGAGCAGCTGTGCATCCGTGTCTTGGGCCTGAGAAATAGCTCCACGGGCCCACCCTGGCAGGCACACCCCCAGGCTTGTCAAGCAGCTTTGCACCCACCTCCCAGGTTAGAGAAATATCCTTGTGACCCTCCCCTAGCAGACACACACAGCTAGGTCAGCTGAGAAAATGTATGGCCATGTCCTGGGCCTGAGAAACAGCCCTGTGGGCCACACCCAGAAGAAATACCTCCAGGCCAGCTGAGCATCTGTGTGCCTGCATCCTGGGCCTGAGAAACAGCCCCATGAGCCACCCCTGGCAGGCTCACCCTTAAGGCCAGCCAAGAAGCCACACACCCGTGCTCCTGGCCAGAGTAATACCCCCATGGCTCCAAGCCAAATGAGCGAGACCCCAAATTTGCTGACCTAACATGTGCATGCACATGCCACTGACCTGAGAAATAGCCCAGCAAGCTCATCCTGAGCACCACAAACTCTCTCGGCCTAGGCCACGGATACACTCCCATATGTCACTAGCATGGGATTACAGTTGATGAAACTACACAGATATGACACTATTGCAACCACCTAGAACCAAAGCCAACAACCTGAACCAACTGAACCAACACCCCAAGACCCATCAATACAAATAAGTCTTTCCCTATGAAACCTACTCAATAAAATTAGAAGAGGCAACTGTTCCATTAGATGTATAAAGTAAACAGATACACATTCAACATGAAAAATGAAACATGACATCTCCGAAGGAACATAATAATTCTCTAATAATAGACCTGAATCATAAGAACTATATAAAATGCCAGAAAAAGAACTAAAATAACTCTTTGAGATACAAGAAAATACAGAGACAATTCAATAAAATAAAAAAAACAATTCATGATTTGAATGAGAAATTCAAAGAGATATCATAGAAAAGAATGAAACAAATCCTAGAGCTGAAGAATTCAATAAATGAAATAAAAAATAAAATTGAGAGCTACGACAATAGACTAGACCAAGCAGAAGAAAAAATTTCTGAATTTGAAGGTAGATCTGTTAAAATAACACAGCCAGATCCACGCCCCATCCATAAAAGGAATCAAGAATAAAACAGAATGAAGAGAGCCTCCAGGACTTAGGGGACATCATGAAGTGAACAAACATTCATGTTACAGGCATCACAGAAGAAGAAATGAAGGAAAAATACAGAAAACATATTTAATGAAATAATAGCTGACAACTTCCCAAGCCTTGGGAGAGTGATGGAAATCTAGATCCAGGAAGCTCAAACCAATTCAAACCAAACAGGTCTTCTCTGAGGCATATTACTGTCAAATTGTCAAAAGTCAAAAACAAAGAAAATTCTAAAAACAGCAGGAGAAAAGTGTCAAGTCATATAGGAGAGAATTTCCATTAGACTAACAACCAATTTCTCAGCAAAAACTTTACACATCAAGGGAGAATGGGATGACATATTCAAAGTACTTAAGGGAAAGAAAAAAAAAAAAACAACAAAAAAAAATGACAGACAAGAATATTATACCCAGCAAAGCTATTTTTCACAAATGAAGGAGAAATAAAATCTTTCATGGATAAGAAAAACTAAGGGCATTCATCACCACTAGATTGGCCTTAAAAGAAATATTCAAGGGAGTCTTACATCTGGAAGTGAAAAGTTGATAACCATGATCATGACAAGATGTTAAACTCCAAAACTCACTGGCAAAGTCAATACACACACAAATAAGAAAGAGAAAGGCATGAAACCTTATAACTACAAAACCATCCAACCTCAAAAATAAGAGAGGAAGTAAGAAACAAAGGATACACAAAACCACCAGAACACAATAAAATGATAGGAGTAAACCCTTACCTATCAATAATAACCCTGAATATAAACAAATTAAATTCCCCATTTAAAAGACATAACCTGACTCAATTAAAAAAAAAAAAAGACCCAATTATGCTGCCTGCAAAAAACTCATCTCATGTGTAAAGACATATATAGACTGAAAGTAAAGGGATAGAAAAATATGTTCTACATAAATGGAAACCAGAAGTGAGCAGAAGTTGCTATACTACCATCAGACAAAACAGACTTTGAGTCAAAAGCTGTAAAAAGAGACAAACAAGCATATTTTATAAGAATGAAGGGATCAATTCAGCAAGAGAACATAATTGTAAATATATATGCACCCAATACTGGAGCACCCAGATAAATGAAGCAACTATTATTAGATCTAAAGAGAGAGAGAGACCCCAACACAGTAATAGTTGGGGACTTCAACACCCCACTCTAGCACTGGACAGATCATCTAAACAGAAAAAAAAAAAAAATCAAAAAGAACACTGAATTTAAACTGAACCATAATAAACCAAATGGACCAAACAGACATATACAGAATATTTTACCTAATGACTACAGGATACACATTCTTTTCAGCACATGGAATATTCTCCAAAATTTACCATATGTTAGGACACAAAACATCTCAAAAATTTTTTTAAAATCAAAACTATATTGAGTATCTTACCTGACCACAATGGAACAAAACTAGAAATCAGTAACAACAGAAACATTTGAAACTACCAATACATGGAAATTAAACTTTCCAATACATGGAAATTAAACAACATGCTCTTGAATGACCAATAGGTGAAGGAAGAAATTAGGAATGAAATTTTAAAATTCCTTGAAACAAATGAAAATAGAAACACAATATACTAAAACTTATGGGACACAGCAGAAGCACTATTATGAGACAAATTTATAGCAATACATGCCTACATCAAAAAACTAAATGGGCTGGGCATGGTGGCTCATGCCTGTAATCCTAGCACTCTGGGAGGCTGAGGTAGGGATCACTCGAGGTCAGGAGTTCAAGACCAGCCTAAGCAAGAGCGAGACATCGTCTCTACTAAAAAATAGAAAGAAATTAGCTGGCCAACTAAAAATATATAGAAAAAATTAGCTGAGTATGGTGGCACATGCCTGTAGTCCCAGATACTCGGGAGGCTGAGGCAGGAGGATCGCTCAAGCCCAGGAGTTTGAGGTTGCTGTGAGCTAGGCTGATGTCATGGCACTCTAGCTCAGGCAACAGAGCGAAACTTTGTCTCAAAAAAAATAAAAAATAAAAAGTAAAAA